CATAGGCGTGCATATATCCTTTCTGATTGGTATTTCTGGTTTCTTGGGATATATTCCTAGAAGTGGAATTACTGGGTCAAATGGGAGTTCCATTTTTAATTTTTTGAGGAAACTCTAATCTGTTTTCCACAGTGGCTGAACCAGTCTGCATTCCCACCAGTAGTCACAAGGGTTCCTTTTTCTCCACATCCTCTCCAGCACTTGTTTATTGATTTGTTGATGATAGCCATTCTGACAGGTATGAGATGGTACCTCACTGTTGTTTTGATTTGCATCTCTCAGATGATTAGTGACTCTGAACATGTTCTCATATAACTCTTGGCCTTCTGTATGTCCTCTTTTAAAAGAGGTATATTTAGGTCCTTTGCATTTTTAAAACATATAAGTTTTTAGATTAAGTGCTCTCTGTAAGCTAGCTATTATTATTTTAATAATAAATAATCAATTTATGTCAGTAGAAATGAGGCTAGGTATAAAATTAAAATGTACTTCCCTAGGTGGTTTTGCTCAGTGGATAGACCATCAACTTGGAAATGAAGGGTCCTGGGTTCCAGTCAAGGGCACATGTCCAATTTTGGACTTGATCTCTAGTGGGGGCATGCAGGAGGCAGGCAATCAATGATTCTTTCTCATTCTTGATGTTTCTATCTCTCTCTCCTTCTCCCTCCCTCTCTGACCATGTCCCCACAATGAGGTGACTGAAAGCAGAAAAAATGCAATCACTGGTTCCTAAAACAAAATATCATGAAGCCAAGAAAGAAATCAGAATCTCCTAACCCCCTTCTTACCCTAACATCACACTTTCTAATCCCAAATTATATCTGTTACTCCTGAGAGGTACATGGACATGTTCCAAGGTTTCAGACTAACCATGTGAAGTTGGCTCTATTTCATATTTTAGTTCCAGAGCCATGATTTTTTCTTGTTCCTGCACTGTGATTAATTTTCCCTTCAGCTCAATTTGCCTGCCAGAAGATCATTCAGAATTATGTCGTTTTCAGCAAATGCTCATACAGCCATCTTCACCTTTAGGAAAACAAATGCTCTAAAGAAAAATCTTGCTAATTTTTATAATGGAAAGAATTCTTTATTTTTTTAAATCCTCACCCAAGGATATGTGTAGAGAAAGGAATGGAAAGAGAGAGAAAGAGAGAAAAATCAATTGCCTCCTCTACACACCCAGAGTGGGGGATCAAACCTCAAACCTATGTATGTGTCCTGACCTGGAATCAAACCCACAACCTTTTGGTGTACAGAACAATGCTCCAACCTATTGAGCCACCAGGCCAGGGTGAGAATTCTTAATGAGATTGTAGGGACACTTAGATAAGCACATAAAATGTGGCATAAAAAGATTGCTAAAGAGAAATCTGAATCAGAAGCTGAGGAAGTTACTTGTAATTTGAAATTACATTCTCAGTAGAGAAATGGCACATCTCCTGAGTCGCAGTTCTTACATCTCCTGACCTCCCTGTATTGAACAGGGTGACTTTTGCTGTAATTATTCTCTATGGTTACTGAGAAGGTTGGGTTTAGATTCTAAAAGCTTGTTGAATTCAAGTATCTCCTTCTCTGTGAGATCTGGCCTGGTGACACTATTTAACATTGACACCTTCCCTGCCCCATCTTTTTTTGAGGCACACTTCTCTATCCAACACACTACATATTTTACATATGCGTCTTATTTATTATCTGTTGCCTCATGATCATGGCAGGTCTTTTCTTCAATTCTGTGTTTCTAGCTTCTATAACGGGTCCTAGCACTTGGTAGGGACTCATCCAGCTTTTGTCTTTAAATGGGGAATGGAAAATGTCCCTGAGATGCATTGCATACTATGAATTCACATTCAAAGCCCTTGCAATGCATGAAAGACTCTATATTGCAATATATACATATATACATATACATATACATATACATATACATATACATATATATATATATATATATATATATATATATATATATATATATATATATATATTAGGAGCCCAGTGTGTGATTCGAAATAGAGCAGCACTGCCCACCCTCGAGTCACCCAGCCAGCCCTCCCTCCCTCTCCGGCCCTTGAAACAGCTGTGACCCCTGCTGATCAGGCACCTCCCATAGCACAAGCCTGCAGTGCAGAGGCCCCTGCTCCCCTGTCCCCAACTCTGGGTGTGCAACCTCCTGTCTGGTCAATCTGTTATGGTGTCCCACTTAATTAGTATATTTCATATATATATATATAAAATATATTTCATATATATTATATTTGTATATATTATATACATATATATGAACATCTAAGTGTCTTTCTGTAACCTGGGAATTGTATGAGCCAAAAATAGAAAATGGGCTTTCAGGAACTTGTTCCAGTGGTCTTATTTTTTATTTACCTAATATTTTAATCCTTTAATGGATACATACCATATTTTCCGGCGTATAAGACGACCCCCTAATTTTACAGTTAAAACATAGTTTTAGGCCTATATTTGCTGTATAAGACTACCCCTCACTTCAAAGAAAAGACTTTGCCGTCAAGATCTGCAGGTGATTTTTGTGCAATTTTGGTCTTTTGCCCCTGATTTTCGGTTGACTTTTTTTCATTTCAAAAGTCGTCTTATACGCTGGAAAATACGGTATCGCTCCAATTAGCTGTCAAGCTATGTATTCTACTCCTCCAAGAGATGTATTTCAGTGCAATTGTACATGGAATCTTTGAAAACAAAGTTAAGTATTTAAGAGTAGAGAACTTCACTACTTCAATCTGTTCTGAAATAACTATTTCTTATAAAAGCACAGATTCCTTTGCAACAACATGCTTTATTTGTCAGGTCATATTTTGGCACGTGAGATTGCTTCAAATAATGAACAGAGACATACACACTGGGTGTAGACTCTGCAGGCTCAGTCCTGTGCCAGGCAGATGACTGATATATGAGAAGTAGCCCCTTTAGGAGACTTGACTGGTACATGTGACCACTAGAGAATTATAAATGAAAGGGGGATTGTGGGTCTCTTAAAGGCAGAGACTAATTCATCTTTGTCATCTAGAATCTGGCACTAGCATATATATGCATGTAATACCCATTTTATAACTAAATAAAAGCAAGAATAAAAAAATGATCAAGTGCTAATCAAGATTTTAAAAAATAATCTATAATACAGTGAAAATTCAGACAGAAATGGGCACAGTGGAGAGCTTCATGGTGAAGACAGGACAAGATTTTATATTGAAAGAAATTAAGGCATCAAATGCTTGAACAAGGGGTGAAAGGGAGTTCCTGGTTAGAAGAGTAATTTCGACCTATACATTTATCACTTGGGATTTTGAGCATCAACTTCCAATGTATATACTTATTTAAAATTATACATATTTTTCTACTATGCTAACATTATAAAAATGTTGAATATATAAAAATAAGATTTTAAAAGAGGAATTAAAAATGAAATAAGCCATATTTAAAATTTATTTTTACTTTTTAATGGTATGTCATTATTTATGTTGGGTGCACATTTGCATTTCAAGTAACTTTATTGACAATTTTTAAAAATTTGGATAAGTTCTAGTCATGCTGGGTTAAATTATAGCACCTCCTACTATGGCTGCTGAGGAGTTTTGATAGGTATAGGAAACACATCAGCTAATCCATTTTCATGTTATTCACTCATGCCTGCATTGTTCACGTTATTGTTCTTCTTCAGTTTCTTTTAAGTCATTTGTGAGAGTTAACTTGACTAAAACTAATACAATCTACTTGTTTGAGCAAGCACATGCACTGTGGAACATACTGAAAGATGCCCTAAGTAAACAGATGAGTGAGCATGTCGTGTGGAGAGGAGGTGAACTTTGGACACGGGTTTGATACAAGGCAGATGGATGGATCCAGGATTGACCGGGCCTCTCCTGTGTAGGTAGAATTAGTGAGGCACAGACTTGGAGACGGTCCAGAGAAAGTCACAAACTTGGGAAAGGTAGATGTGGGAGGTCAGATTATTAATGGTACTTGAGAGATGTAGACCAGGTGAGATAGGTCAATGAGACTATTTACCTATTTTTAAAGAAAGGAGTAACAGAACCAAAGTTTTATATTAAAAAGTTTTATTTGAAAATCAGGGGGAAAAAGTAAAACTTCAAAGAAGCCAATTCAGAGGCACTCTGAACGATACAGTTTAGCTTCAGCTAGCTCTCTAAGTAAACTCCCATAGTACTGCCATCTGCAGGTCCCGGGACTCTTAAAATATAGACCTTTGTTCTTCATTGTTCTTCCTCATCCCCTCCCCTCAGGTTTGTTGAGGTATGATTGGCAAGTTAAATTATAAGATATTTAAAGTGTTTAATGTGATGACTTGATATACAGATACACTGTGGAAGTATTCCCCCATTGAGTTAATTAACATATCCATCACCTCACATATTTTAGCAAATTTCAATTACGCAGTATAATGTTATCAGCTGTAATCACCATGTTATACATGAGGTCCTCAGATTTTATAATCTTATAACTAAACATTTGTACCCTTTTATGCTCCCTATTTTTCCCTTCCTGGCAACCTCTTTTCTGGTCTCAGTGTGTAGAGTGTTTGTTTGTTTCAGATTCCACATAAAACTAATACCATGCAGTATTTGTCTTTCTCTGCCTGGCTTATTTCAGTTGGCATACTGTCCTCCAGTTTCATCCATGTTAATACAAATGGCAGGATTTCCTTCTTTTTTATGGCTGAATAATATTCTATTGCATTTTCTTTAAATTTTCTTTAACCATTCATTTTCAATGGACACTTGTTTCCATGTCTTAGACATTGTGAATAATGCTGCAATGAATATGAGAGTGCAGCTATTTCTTCAAGATAATGATTTCATTTATTTTGGGTATATTCCCAGAAGTAGGATTGTTGGATCATATGGTAGCTCTATTTTTAATTTCTTGAGGAACCTCCATACTGGTTTTCATAGCGCCTGTCCTAGTTTACATTCCCACCAACACTTGTACATATTCTTTGTTGTTCTTGGCAGGAGAGAGCCAGGAGCTGCCTGCCATTTCTGGTGAGTCAGCTGGCCAACATGGAGCACTCCTTTCACCATATCCTCCTGCTGGAGATTAAGAGCATCACAGACACATTCTCCTCCCTCCTGGGCCCTCAGAGCAGAGACATCTTCCGCATGAGCAACAGCTTCATTGCCATTGCCAAGCTCCTTGCCAGACAACTGGAAACCACCAAGCCCCAAAGTGGCAGGTGAGCGGGAATTACTATGGACACGGGAATCTGTTGAGAACCCGGGGAGGCGGAGCACAGGCAGCTACACTTTCTTTTGTAGCTATTAAACTTACCAAAGAAAGCCAAACCCACTACCTCAACCTAGAGTAACCTCTAAATTATGACACTTACCAGAACTTCTTCTAAATATAGGGTACTCTCAAACACCATCCCTCAAGGGGTTCATAATCAGACTATGTGACAGGGTTTTCACAGAAGTGCCAACAATGAACTAGGGAGCATGAGACACATTACTGACCAAAAGCCAGGAAATTAAAGAGTGTTTCACAGAGAAGGTGAAATTTAAGTTCATTCCATATTTATTGAGTAGTATTCATGTGCCAAGCATCTGTGTAGGTACTAGAGAAAGTTATATAGGATGAATAATAAGAGTAGAAAGGACAGGGCAAATAGAAAGGACACTCCTCACATGCAAGGATATAAGAGCTCAAGAGTGTGTGAGCTGGACTAAGGAAAAGCAGTTGATTCAATGTGGCAGGTTTAAGGTCATCAGGGTATGAGTCTAAGCCGAAAAGTTAGGTCAGAGGCAGATTACCAGAGGTCTTACATGCTTCATCAAAGGGTTTGTCCTGTAAGCAACATGGAAGCTTGGGAAGATTTTAATCCAAGGAATGACCATATAGTAGGTGCTTAATAAATATTTTCTCACCAACGGACTAGATGAATGAGGAAGTGGCTAATGTTATGGAGCTCTGGATGGATTTGGCAAGAGCAGCAGGCTGGCCAGAGAGAGAGAGCGACCGGGATGTTAGTTCAGAAACCTTAACAATAGGCTCCTTCAATTGTGGTCGGTGGTGGGGAATTTAAGAAGTTGGGGCAGCCGAGACCGGTTTGGCTCAGTGGATAGAGCGTCGGCTTGGGGACTGAAGGGTCCCGTGTTCGATTCCGGTCAAGGGCATGTACCTTGGTTGCGGGCATATCCCCAGTGGGGGGTGTGCAAGAGGCAGCTGATCGATGACTCTCTCTCATCGATGTTTCTAACTCTCTATCTCTCTCCCTTCCTCTCTGTACAAAATCAATAAAATATATTTTAAAAAAAATAAAAAATAAGAAGTTGGGGCAGATCATTATAATGAGAGAGAGAGACCAGGATTATGAGGAATTGATCACTAGTAGGAGGTGTGGTGAGGAGAAAGGGAGAAGATTGGATGAAACCTAGGGATTCTAGTTTGAGTGACTAAATATACATGGAAGATGATGCTGATAACTAAGAAAAGAGGTAGCAAGAGGGAAGCCAATCTAGAAGGGTCCCTTTGCCCATTCTACAACAGAGGGTATACTCTGGCCAAAGTGGTCATCAAGGTCAACAATCTAAGGAAGACAAATTGTAAAGTGCTCTTTCCTATCAACACCATAGTTTTGGTTGTGTATATGAAAATCTGTCATTACCTGGTTCAATATATAGATGTCTATATACCAGGGCTTCTAACTCTGGTATGATTAAAATTTGGACTAGGTAACTCTTGGTTGTTAAGCTGTCCTGTGAATTATAGAATATTTGCCAGCATCCCTGGCCTCTAGCCATTAGGTGCTAATAGCAAACCTCTCTTTCACTTATGACAACCACAAACATCTCCAGACATTAATAAATCACTCCTACTTGGAAACCACTGCTATCTATATACTCTATTCACAAATGAAATTTTCACAGACCTATGACCTGCCTAGCAACAGCCCAAACACGGCAGCATCCAAGAAATCCAGGGCCAGCATCATGAAGGGGTGATTTGTCATTTATGTGCAAGCACAAAGTTACTGCTGGCCAATGTCCATGGGGTCGTTTCGGAAATTTTGTTTAGAGCTTCTACAGCTGGTGCTTGGGGGAGCCATTTTGTATTCTGCCCACAGCCAGCCTGCTATTTCTTCTTCCCAGTTGATGACTAACATCTGGATCCGATGTGAGCGCATAGGCACATGTTTTGGCCAGCCGCTCATCCGTTCTCTATTGCTTCTACAAATGCAAAGTTGCAAGAGGCCAACTGACATCTGTGAGATTATATGTGTGAAAAAGGTTTATATAAAGGGAAGACATGTTATACAAGGGTATTACATTAGGCATTCTAACAGATAAATTGATCCTTTATAAGTAAGTCCAATCCCATAAGCAATAAACAATTTCTCCATGAAAAGAAGAATTTAGCAGGTATGTAGATAGGGGGAAAACATAAGGTCTCACTATCAAAATGAGTCTTCATTATGAGAATGCATTGAAGTTTCCCTGTATTATTTCTCTGAGAAAAAAGCAAAAAGCAAAGAGGATAATTAAATGTGAAAAGATAAAAGGTCACTAGTCACCTCACGTACTATCACCATTGCCATCGCCACCACCTCTTCAATTCAAAATACTTCACCCAGTTCAACCTCCCCTGTCAATCTCCTTCTGATCGATTATAATTATTCGGTGGGAACTTCAAAACGTTGGTGTGGACAGCCAGCCTTTTGTGGTAACCGCTTCATCCTCTCTGGGATGGTTGCTAAGGCTTCTCTCCCAAAATCTTCTCCCTGAATAGCCTTCATTGTGACCATTTAACTTCAGTAATTTTAATCTGTGCCCCCCAAAAGCAGAAAGGTCGATGCTTTTGTCTAAAGCATCCAGCAAAGTCTGATCTTCACAATTGGCGGGGAAATGAATAAATGAAGAGAGCTTGAAAGAAAATTAAAGATGATAAAATTCAAAACAGATGTCATCTAATTTACAAATCTGACACATAGCCCAGCAGGCCAGATTTTTAGACTCCAGGCCAAAGATATCAGATGATGAAAAGGAAAACAATTAGCATCCTAGAGAGAAGGAAAAACTAAAGCAGACGGGAGCCTTCGTTGTGCAGAGTGACTCTGAATTAATGGGGTGAGCTTTATTAGATGCACCAGGTAAGCACACTGGCACCTTTCTTGTTCCTGTGTCTTAGGAAAAAAGTGCTTACATCTAAATAATAAAACAACAAAGGCTAACAAACAGGACAGCTAAGCAAAGAGTTTAGATTTTGAAATTAATTCTAGGGGGATAACAGCAATTGTGGGTTGGAAAAGAGAAGGAGTTAAGATAGGGGGAAAGGTGTGTGAGCCTTTGAACCACTATCTATTGTGTGCGCTTGCCAGGATCTGGAAGAAGCTGGGGAAGGAGACTTCCGACCACTGTGCACCGGCTAAGCAGCCATTGATCAGAGACTCAAAGGTGCCTTTGCCAAAGGCATGTGGCACCAGGGAGACTGCTCTAATCAGGCACCATCAGAGTTGGGGACAGTTTGTCACAGGTGGTCTTAGTAGGAGGGTCAGCTCAGGCCCCAATTGGGGATGGAAACTTTGAGAGACGAAACTTGTGGAAAGAAAATTGGGGTTGGATGTAAATAGGAGTAATGAGAAAAGGTAGGGAGAAAGGAGGGCCATGGGAAAAGGGAAAAGGCAGAAGGGGAAAGCAGAGGGGAAGGAGATAGAGCACCTGTACAGCTCCAAGTCCAGGGCCACGGTGGTGATCTGAGGGGCAGAAGTGACAGTTCCCTCAGATCCATCTTTCAAACCCCAGCCAAAGCCATCAAAGCTATGGGACTGGGGAGGGGGAGTTGTTTATAAGAACAGTTTTAACTTAAAGTGTGTGATTAAAACTTTCCCAAAAACTTCTTGCTTGGTTAAATGGGCGATATGTTCTTTTGTTGTTTTGGTGGTGATGGTGGTAGTAGTGGTGAGATTTTGTGTTTATTGTTGTTCTGCTTTTAAGAGTTAGGCCTGGGCCGAAACCGGTTTGGCTCAATGGATAGAGCGTCGGCTTGGGGACTGTAAGGTCCCGGGTTCGATTCCGGTCAAGGGCATGTACCTTGGTTGTGGGCATATCCCCAGTAGGGGGTGTGCAAGAGGCAGCTGATCGATGACTCTCTCATCGATGTTTCTAACTCTCTATCTCTTTCCCTTCCTCTCTGTACAAAATCAATAAAATATATTTAAAAAAAAAAAAAAGAATTAGGCCTGGAAAACATTTTAAAAAGGAGAATGAAAGGTAACTTATAGACAAAACCAGTTGGATAGGTGTGTTTCTGACTTAGGTATAAATGAAAAGAGATGGCAGATGGAAGGGGAAAAAATAGAGCATTGTGTGGCCCTAGCAGGGTGGCTCAGTTGGTTGGAGCATCATCTCCATAAAGGTTGTGGGTTTTATTCCCAGTCAAGTCACATTCCTAAGTTGCAGATTCAATAGCAACCCATCAATGGTTCTCTTTCTCTCTCCCTTCCTCTCTTTCTAAAAAAAAAAATCAATAAAAATATATCATCAGGTGAAGATTACAAAAACACACATTGTGTGTGAGAGAATGAATGATAAATAGAATAAGGAGAGCATGTTCACAGTAGAATGGCTCAGGAAATCTGCCTCCTTGGAATAGCCCCAGAGTTTTGGTTTATCCTAAGTTTCATGCAATGAACATCAAAGAGATGAATGACTGGGGAGAGCCAGGAATTTGAGTTAGTCTGTGGCCCTAATGTATAGACAAGTAACATAACCTGTAAAGACCCTTTTCAAACTCTGAGACCTTTTGCAACTTGTCATTCCAGAGTTCCCATCTTGACATCCTGACAGTCACATATGAACCTAACCCTGGGTCATATACAGTCTCTGAAGGCATTGCCCAGGAGCTTCAGTGTGATGCCTCTGTACTGAATCCACAATAGAGATTGTAGAGAGCAGGAAGCCAAGTTCTCTACAATTTTTCAAGGAAGACTGTGTCTATAGGTTTGATTAGCTCTTACTGTTATTAATGGAAGTGAGAGGGCCTTAGCTCCCCCTATTGCTTATGGGGAAGGAGGGGGTTTTCTTGTAATGCCCTGAGAAAAGGAATTTTTGGAGACTCACACAGGGAGAATGAGATATGATGAAAACATTATTTCCGTGGAATTACACCACTGGGTTGCCAAAGTTCTGTTTCCCTTGGTCCAGTCATGGAAAAAAGTAGTTGGGGCTTCAGTAGAGC